CCCCCGCGGTGCAGCGCCCCGCCAGCCTGGAGCACTTCAGCAGCAGCTCGGCCTCCACCTCGCTCAGCTCGTTCAGCAGCTGCAAAGGCACAGGCAGGCGGGTCAACTCGGAACAGCTTCCCACGGCGCGCGTAAAACAGGCGCAACGCGAACAAACAAGCGAGAGAAACGTCTTTAGGGATCAACCGCGTGGCAAACCCAAACGGAATTCCTTGATCCGCGACAGAGCGAGGGCAAGAGGGAGCAAAATAAACTGCTCAAGTGTGAGAGGTGTCCCTGCAGAGGCATTTCTGCACACATGGCAGCTCTGGCACCCAGACGCCTGGCTGGGCGGTAGGATGCTCAGCCTGAAACAGCGAAGCCCATCCCAAAACACTTTGTGCTAAAAACAAATATTTAAAAAATCCAGAATTTTATTAATTTCGACAGGTTTGGAAATAAAAAAAAACCCATCTACTGATTCTCCATAATTTCCAAGGAAGCCAGCAGGGGAAGCATCAGGGGCTGTGAGAGGTCAGGAAACCCAAGGAGACTGAAGGGCACGGCAGCGAATCAGGAGAAGCTGCAGTGCAGCTCCTGGTGTTTGCCTGGCTTTGCAGAAAACGTATCAGAGCTTTATCCTGACATAACCCCCCCACATGGACTCTGTTTACCTGTACTGCAAAGTCTCTAAGTCCGTTGATGTTCAGTGCTGGCTCCATGAGATCAAAGATGAGCTGTATGTGGTGAGCCAAGGGAAGATGTTCCTGAGGCAAAACTAGTTATCTGTTCCAGAACGTTACTGGAGATCTAGGAACATAAATATCAAAGTTGTAAGGTGACTGAGGGCTTCCCAGACACACCAGGGCTCAAAATAGGCTCTTTTGTAAGTGGTAACAGCAGGTGACAGCAATTTGCAGTTAAAAGCACCAGCACATCACACATGGGTTTATCTGTTACTCTACTGACTGCAAGTCAGTCCCAATGCCATTTTATTTTCAAAACTGACAGCACAGAAAAGGATGATCTGCTGCTTTACAGCTGAGAGTCAAGCTGTTCTTAACATCTACAACACCACTTTTAATTCTGTGGGGTATTTTGCTTTAAAGAAGAGGCAAAAGTAATTTCTTGTTTCGTCTTACTGAATTGTGATTATTTACGGTTTTCAGATAATTTATAACACTTAATCCTGCAAACAAAACATGTAATAAATTCACTCAAATGTCTTCTAAATTAAGTAGCAAATGCATACCTCTTTTACTTTGTTTCTGTGTTAGCCTCTGGTTATTAAAATACTCTTCAGAACACTAACACCTGACAGTCATTAAATCCTATGCTAAAGCATTTGCACACTTACAAGTCCTAATATAAAGCAGGAAAACCAGGCTTGTCATTTGAAACACATTCTTTATGTTCTCCAAACAGCCACTGATGCAGCTTTTGAACAGGAAGGGTTGGCTATAAATTCTAATATCCAGAAAAGCACAAGCTGTGTCATCCAGCAGCTCCTCAGAGATGTGCCCGGTTTCCTGCACACAAACACAGTCTCTGTCCTTCCTGAACACAGACACAGGAACGGGCCTTACACATCTGCAAGAGACTGATTAGTAAGTAGTGCTAACGAGCCCCCAGCAATGCTGCTGATGGACATTTATGTAAAATTTATTTCAAATTTTCCGTTAAAAGTCATGACATCTATAGTAATCCAGAAAGCTTCTTGCAAAACAATCAGAAAAATCCAAACAAACCCCCAAATACCCACCGAGGTGGGTATTTTACAATACCAAGGCAGGATTTTTTCTGCTGCCTTTGAAGTGCACTGAAAATTCTTCGTATATACAAATCACTTCTAAAAACCTAAGTTTGCTTCCTATTTAGCACCTCTACAGCAGAAAGCAAAGGGCCACGATTTTTTTCAAGGCAAGTACCTGAGATGTCACCTGGTGTTGATCAAAATAGGACAGCTGCTGCAGTTTTGTGAACACGGTCCCTAGGGTTGGCAATGCTCCTTGCTTGGTCTTCCTGCCTTGCTGCCCTTCAGCCCCCACTCAACAGAAAAAAAGAAAAACAAAAAAAAAAAGTTGGAAATTTAATATTTTATGGAGTCCTTCTAGTTTTGCATTATTATTGACTTAAAAGGCAATCAAAGTCTTAGTAAGCTTTACTCATGACTCCATAAAGCCCTCCTGGCCTCCGTGCTCCCTTGTACCCGGGACAAACACAGCACAGCACGTCACGGGACCAGAACTATTGGAGGTTGCTCCAGTGAAAAAGGTGGCACCCCAGAAAAACTGAAAACTCCCCAGAGTTTTATTGGGAGGGAAAGGAACGTGTTTGAGTCGCTGGCCTGTCTCTCACAGTCCAGGCTTTAGCCTAAAAAAAAGAAAGTGTTTGCAGCCCAGTTGCTGTGATGGGAACCAGGGATTTCTAGAGCCAGTGCTCCCTGGCCGTTCTGGTCCGAGTGTGGGGCTCTGGCCAGGACTTCACCCAGGGACTGCAAAGAAGCCAAGTTCCATCAGCAACATGCGTGGCTCCAGAAAACCTGCTGAGCAGCTCTCAGCCCCCGCGGCCAAGGGCTCCCTCACCACAGCGTGACACCACTTACCGCCCAGCTCGGTCGTGCTCTTCTTGTTCAGGATTTTGAGGATGTCTTTGGTGATCTTCAGCTGGTGCCTCGCTTCGTCACGCTCCTTCCCAACGCCAAACAGGAGAATCATGCGCTGGTTGCACTCATGGCTTGAAGATTCATCCTGGAAAGACCAGATACGAGTGAAATCTCTTTTGTCACCACCTGCAGAAACCCGGCCCGGGCAGCCCAGGCTGTGGTGCCGGTACCAAACCAGCTCTCACTAAATGCATTTCCTGAGCTTAGCAGCGTGGAGGAAAGAGCAGATGAAATCAGTAATGAGAAGGGGGAAGAATGCAATCTGATGTTATGAATTCGGTATGGGCAGTCAGAGGACAGGGATGGGCAGCCCTCCCTGCTGTCCCCGGGACTGGTATTCAGTAGCAGATCAGTAAATAGAAGACAGATGTCAAGAAGCTTCCCTTCTTATGTACAAATCCATTGAAAAAAAGATGCAGCCCAACTCGTAAAATACAGTTTTGTTCTTCCCAAAGAAATGGAAACATTTCTAGTTTACCTAAATTGTGGTTATCCTTGGTCTTGTAATAAGATGCATCACGTGCTGTGCAGAACTGGAACACTGGCAGAACTGCTCTGCAAGGCATACAAGGTATAAACATTCTGTTCAGTATATACCTACCAGCTCCAAAGTAACCAACCACCACTGCTCTCAACTGCTTCAAAAGTGTTTTTAGCAGTAAGTCTGTGCACGAAAATAACCCCAGAGGATCACAAGGCAGAGGCAGCAGCCAGGGGCGCAACTCGGCGCTCAGGAAAGTTGCACAGTCTTACAAAACACATCGTCTCTTTTAAAAATAGGGACTCTTAGTAAGACAAAAGCAGGAAGTAAACCTCTAATTATTTTTAAATTTTCTATTTCTTTCTCTGTTCTGGAGGAAAGAGAAGCAGAAGCTCTGAGAGCAGCACTTGGAATTTGGAGCCGTCTCTGGCTGAGAAGGCAGTTCCAAGGCAGAGGAAGGTCCAGGTCTCCGAGCTGGGATGCTCTGAGCTGCTCCTCCAGCCCCCCCCTTGCTCCGTGGGCTTCACCAGAGCCGCGCTCCTGCCCACTCCCACGGTGAGGAGCCAGCGGAGCCGCGCGGGATCCGCCAGCAGCACCGCGCTGCTCCGCACGCTGCGGTAAGAGGTCCCTGCCTTGGGAATGCCGGGCGAGTCAGGGCCGGGCTGCGCAGCTGAGCCTGCTGCAAACCAGGAACCCACGTCTCTGTGTCCGTGGGGCAGCCCCGCGGGGGGTGTCGGGGCGCTGGGGCTGCAAACAACTTCTGACTTTGCTGAAACATGTGAGCAGTGCAGGAGCAGCCCCCGGGGTGCTGGGCTGCAGGGTTGGAGCAGGAGCTCCTGCCTCACGCTCTTACCCTTGGCAGCAACGGTGACTCTGGGGGGTCCCACAGCCGCCCCTTGGGGACATGAGGGGATGGGGACACCCCCACACCCTCCTGCCATGCTGGCCCCTTGCCCACCCCTGCAGCAGGGCCTCGGGGAAGCTGTGTGGGAAGCCCAGGAGGGTGGGATGGATGGGTGGTCACCTCAGCGTTTCAGTCAGGGAAGATCAAACCGAGCCACCCGACAAGTGCCGCTGCATTAGTGCCCTTCTGTAGAAACCTGGCACCCAAGGGAAAACAAAACACAACTTACAGCAGTCAAAATACCCAAAGGAATTGCTCCCAACATTACAAGCAGATGAAAAATGCCAAAGTCTTAAGACAGATAGAACTCACTGTTACTTTTTTTCCCTTTTTTTTCTTTTTTTTTCCAGGAAGGAGGGAAAAGACCAAGCACCAATGAAAGCCACAAGCAACTTCAGCTACCCTAGGAATGACAGCAACTGCACCAGCGATAACAGAATCAGCCAAGTCATTTTTCCTGTGCTTTATACAGTTCTGTTCCTGGTGGGTATCACCATGAACAGCCTGGCAATGTGGGTCTTTTTTAAAATATCCAGTAAGTCCAACTTCATCATCTTCCTCAAGAACACAGTCATTTCTGACTTCTTCATGATCTTAACTTTTCCATTTAAAATCCTTAGCGACGCAAAGCTGGTATCATGGATACTGAGAGGGTTTGTGTGCCAGGTCACCCAGGTTGTGTTTTACTTCACCATGTACATTAGCATTTTGTTCCTTGGCCTGATAACCATCGACCGCTACCAGAAAGCCACTTCGCCCTTCAGAACCTCAACACCAAGGAGCCTTTTAGGGGCCAAGATCCTGTCCACAGCAATCTGGATATCCATGTTTGCTCTTTCATTACCCAACATGATCCTAACAAACAAGAAGAAAATGCCTAAGAACGTGAAAAAATGTGCTCTCCTGAAATCTGAGTTTGGCTTAGTCTGGCACGAAATCGTAAACTACATTTGTCAGCTCATCTTCTGGGTGAACTTAGCAGTCATAGTTGTATGCTACTTACTCATAAGTAAAGAACTGTACAAATCCTACAAAAGGACAAGATGCACAGGAAAGGCATCCAAAAAGACTGTAAATCTGAAGGTTTTTATCATTATTGCAGTGTTCTTTATTTGTTTTGTGCCATTCCACTTTACTAGGATCCCCTACACGTTGAGCCAAACACGGGACGTTTTTCAGTGCTCTGCTCAGAACACCTTGTTTAACCTGAAGGAGAGCACGCTGTGGCTGACATCACTCAATGCTTGCCTAGATCCCTTCATCTACTTTTTCCTTTGCAAATCCTTCAGGAAGTCCCTGCTAGACATGCTGTGCAAGCAGACAGCAACGTCAGAGCTCAGGGCACGGATGAAGGATCAGAATGAAGCAGATGACACAGACGAGACACAGCTCTAGAGCCCAGAACCACCCGTGCTCCTTCTTGGCCACATTTTGTTTACAGGTGGGTGGAAGCAGCACAAATCCAAAGGAAGAACATCTAGAATTTCACCAGCTCTTTTGGAGATGGTCCTACAGATGAAGCAGAAGCACCCTGGAACCAACATCACTGGGTGCAACGTTGGTGAAACTAGAAAGCTTGAATGATCAGAACCTCGTCAGATTTCCCAGGAAGAAGTTCGACCTTTTAGCTGGAGCTGTAAGGAAGCAGCTAAAGCAGAGACAAGAAATGCTACAGATGAGATGATGAACTGCAAAAATTTTTAAGAAATAGCTTCACTTGGGCCAGAGTAAAGTCCATGACAACACAAGATCTGGAAAATGCAAATAAAAGCCAGAGTAAATGAGATTTTTAAATACAAATAGTTGCCACCTCGTATGCAACTGGCAGACAGAAATAGAAGACATATGTAGAGAAGCTATCTAGTTGTGCAGATTTTGGTAACAGTAACCTTGTGCTTGTCTCATTAATATGCTTGTAATGATTAATCCATTGACCAATAATTAATAGATGCATGTCAGAGATGTTATTTCATAATCAGATTCACCTTCATGTAAATCAAATCTTCAAATATTTCACGTTACTATAAGTATGAACAAAATGTACACTTCTGTAGAGAACAATATATTATATCAGAAAATATACAAAGACTCAATTTCCTGGATACTTAGAAACTAAGGAAAGAAAGACTCATGGTAAAACCCCTCATGATTATTAAGGACAGCTTTTTTGCACTACACAAAAAATTTAACCACTTCCCCATTTTCATTTGGAAAAGTTGAAAACAAAAACCCAAACCCAAACAAAAAGAAACAACAGGGAAGTATTTTCAGGTGTGTAACATTTTCAGGTACCAAAACAACCACACATGAAAAAGATCCTCAGCCACTGTAATAAATTACAGTTCACTATCACCACTGCAAAACAGCTCCAGTTGAGAAATGTGTTTCACCATCACACCAGAGCTCAGTCCTGCCAACAAACAGTGCCTGCCTCCCCCTGCCCAGGTCTGTCCCTGTGCCTGGCAATTATCCAGCAGGTGCTTTTCCTGACCCGAGGAGCAGTTCAGACACCAGAGGCCACAGCCTGTGCCCCCGGGGAGCAGAGCCTCCCCCAGCAGGGAGCAGTGACTCTGGGTGGGCTGGGAAGGAAACGTGGCAGATGCTGCCCGGGATGTCAGTCCTGGGGAACTGCAATGGACTGTCTCAGCTTCACACAGTCTGTGTTGAAGGAACAGAAGTGGGGCCAGGCAGCTACAGACATGTCACACTGATGGCAATGGTGAGGGTGCCCCTGGTTCCCATCGCCCTCAGGGCTCTTTGCTCTCTGCTGGCCATCCAACACAGGCATCAGCACACACACCTTCATTAACCAAGCCCAGATACCAATGCACAAACCCACTGGTGACACAGCTACAGCCTGAGAACCCCAGAAAGCAATCCATGCCTGCCTGCAGAGGGTGGCTTGAACATTGCCCACCTGGCAACCATCAAGGAGACAGCAGCCTCAGCCACATCAGGTGACAGGAAAATACAAGACAGACCCCATGACTGAGCTAAGCTTACCCAAAACGTTCTGCTTACAGAGAAATGCTCTGGATTCCAACCTTACACATACTAAACACATGATGACTACAAAGCACCCCAATGCAGAACCAGGAAAGGCTGGAACAAGCACACAGCATCTCCTGGCTGCATTGACACCAAAACAGAGCAGAACCCTGCTCTGGAGACCAGAGGGCAGGCTTAGAGTCCTGGTATCACCAGGCTCAGGGGGGAAGGGGCAGGTCTGAGCCTGTCCCTGCACAGAAATCTGCAGCTGAGTAACACACTGCAAGGGTGGCTCTGAGCAGACCTTCTGGTCACTCCTTTGACAACAACTAGTGCTGCCCAGAGCAGGGGAATTCACACACACACACAAGAACTCAGAGCTACATCTGGGGATTATCCTGAAAAACTGTCAGGAAATGCTCTGTGTTTGATGATCTCATGTCTCAAAGATGCCAGATTATAATGGCACCATGGAGGAGCTATCGAGTCTGCCCCACACCAACAAAAAGCCAGAAAACGTGTCTGTCTTGATGGGCATGGTCACTTTTTTCTTTCCTAGTACAGGAGAAGGTAGTGTGGTTTCAGACAGAGAGAAAAAGGAAGAGAGAAAAGCAACAGCAACACAACTAACTAACTCAGGCGACACAGGAAAATGAGGAAGGAAACAACACACGAGATCAACAGAAAAAGTCCCATCCTTCCACACATTTCCCCATTCTTGATACTTTGCTGGAGGCTTCTGTTAGGAGAGGACCAGTGTGTGAAGCAGAGACAGCCAGAGACCCTCTCTCCAAGTCCTGCTGCCAGCTTTGCTCAGGTACCTGCAGGATGGGAGCATTCATGTGGTGTGATGGGGCACTCGCTCATCTGGCTTTCAGATGTAAGAGGCTAGTGACCAGTGGGCAGCTTATCTTGAGACCGTTCTTTATATCTGTGCTGAGACAGGAAAAATGGTGTGTGCTTGGTAAGAAATACCAGAAGTTGCTTTCCCGGAAGCACTTTGCTTTTGGGCCACAACTGTAAACTTTCTATTCCATGTTAAAATATATTTCCATGTGAAGACAAATGGGGCTGTAGGCCATCTGCTGTTACACCTTACTGTTCTGTTATCTCAGACCTCCACAATGAACGTATACCAGTGTAACTTTTCTTTAGACATTGGTTTGTAAACTTAAGCTCAGGCAATGATTCAGATTTGCTGGGGACTAGAGAACAGTTGGTCTGTATAACGCACGCTCAGGTTGTGTGTTTATTTGTGTAAACCTGCTGGTCACTGCAAGGAACATGCAATTTTAAACCCAGAATGCAGTGGTTTGTGTTTTTTCTCTCCCTTTCACCCAGGCCCGTTTCAAACCATGGGAGACTCTGCAAACGAGAGCACTGCCAGCAACTCCAGCACAGCCCCCTCGGCACCGTGCCCGCGAGACACCACGCTCACCCACCTGCTCTTCCCAGCACTCTACACACTTATCTTCCTCCTGGGACTTGTACTGAACAGCCTGGCTTTCTGGGCCTTCTTCCACATCCCAAGCACATCAACTTTCATTGTCTACCTGAAAAACATCGTAATTTCCGATTTTGTAATGACCTTGATGCTTCCTCTGAAAATCCTGACGGACTCTGGCCTGGGACCGTGGCAACTCAAAGCCTTTGTGTGTCGCTTCTCAGCCGTGGTGTTTTATGACACCATGTACATCAGCATCGTGCTACTTGGTCTCATCGCTTTTGACAGATTTCTCAAGATCGTGAGACCTTTTGGGAAGTTCTGGGTGCAAAACCTGAGCTCAGCAAAGATCCTTGCGGGTCTGGTCTGGCTCTTCTTCCTTGTTCTCTCTCTGCCCAACATGATCTTATCAAACAAGAAAGCAACACCCCAGTCTGTGAAGAAGTGTGCCTTGCTGAAGAATTACCTGGGACTCAGATGGCACGAAGCCGTCAATTACATCTGCCAGTTCATCTTCTGGACTGTTCTCATCCTCATGTTTCTGTTTTATGTCGTCATTGCCAAGAAGGTATATGAGTCATATGTGAAAACGCAGAAGAAAAACAACAAAAGTGAAAAAAGGATCAAGGGGAAAGTGTTCATCATTTTTACTGTGTTTTTCTTATGCTTTGCCCCCTTTCACTTCAGCAGGGTTCCCTACACCCTGAGCCAGACGACCGCCCGCATGGACTGCCGCCTGCAGAACCAGCTCTTTGTGGCCAAGGAGAGCACCCTCTGGCTGGCTGCCACCAACGTCTGCATGGACCCCCTCATATACATGTTCTTGTGCAAGCCCTTCGTGGAAAAAGTGCTGTGCAGGAGAGTGAAGGCACTTCAGAAAATGGTTCACACGCACCCAAAAACCGAACTGGACACACAAACGTCTCCTGACCCCGCAGCTTCACGTGCCACAGTCTCTGCTCTGCCCTAGGGAAGCTGAACAATGATTTGTTTTACTGGCACTGTAGGAAATGGAAGGGTGCTTGTAGTGGAATACTAGTGGTTAATAAAAACAGCAAAATGGATTTCTGTACTGCTGCTCACTGCTTGGCCTTAAACACCAGAAGCTGCCACCTCAGCTGCCACTCCTGGCCTGCCAGGGCTGTGCCCCGAGCCGGGCTCTCTGGGGGACCCCAGCCCCCCGAGCCCCCCAAGCGCTGCTGTGCCTGCCCAGCCCCACGCTGCCTCCGCAGCCAGGGCCACCCCTGCTGCCCAGCACCCCAGCAGGGCTGGCCCAGCACCCCAGCAGGGTGCTCTGCAGCCCGTGCTGCCCTGCAAAGCCCACAGGAGCAGAGGTTTTTCTGATTTGGTCACTAAATCCTGTCCCACAGCCTGACAGAACAAACCACAACCAATGACTGGGATACCTTCATAGAACTTAAGACAATCTACAGAACAATTCTATCTGTTTTAAAAAAAAACAAAACACAACAAAACCCACCTTGTTTACACTTAGGCAGCTTACTGACTGTGGCTGCTACTAAGGACAATTTAGAATCATAGAATCGTTTTAGTTGAAAAGGACCTTTAAGATTTAGCTTTATTTGGGACTCAAGCCCAGAGCTGCTGACTGTGTGTCAGTAGTTCTTACACTGGGTGTCAGCTCGGCTGCACGTCACAGGGCAGGGAAGAGGAGGAAGAGTACATGACTGAGGAAGGAGGACACAGTCCCTCCCCACCTCTTTCTACACACCTAATTACTTTCCTACCTTCTACACTGTTTCCATCCTCCTTCTCCACTCCCAGCAGGGGCTCTGGTGGGGGATGCAGTCGGTGATACCCCAGTCTCCCCAGAGCTCACTCCTCATCCAGGCCCACAGCAGACCCTGGACTGCATCCCCTGCAAAGGGACCCCAGAGCCATGCAGGCACCCCCACCCTGCCACCAGCCAGAAGGAAGCACCCAGAAACATCCCTCTTGGTGGCAGATTCACCCTTCCCAGTCCCAAGTGACACTGCCTGACCCTCCCCACCCAGACAGCCCCTCTCCACCTGCAGAGCTCCTATCTGCTCTCCCTCAGGGGCAGCCAAACAGTCTGTGCCTAAGGAGAAACGGCTTCCTAATCCAAACCCTGACACTGATTTTAAGACATGAAACAGATACCAGCCATGTATTGATTCCAACTCTATAAAGTATATTTCAAAAAACTGTTAACCTTGCCTTATCCCTCCACAAGGCTTCCTTGCTTCTCCAACACAGGCTTCTCCTGGCACTGGTCCCCCGAGGCCACGGCAGAGCTCTGGGAACACACACCATGGACTCTTCTCCACCACCCCCTCCCTGCCCAGACCCTCATCTCCTGCTGCCCTGGGACCCGGTGGAGCTGAAGGGCACCCGTGAGAACCAGCACCTCCCTCAGCCACAGCCCTCACCCCTCCCAAGCTCTCCTACCAGCCTCATGCCTTCTCACACGTGCCAGATGCTTTGATCACCACCTGACTGCTATTTTTAGGAATTAAATATTTACAGCAGTCTAACACAATCCTGCAGGTTGCTCCATGCAGCCTGATTTTTTCAAAGCTGTTTTCAGATTACTGTGCATTAATTACATCTGCTGTTGGGATTCCCCAGCCTCTGCCACACAGGTAGATTGTGTCTTACTGAGCAATTTCTCCTCACTAGATCTTCTCCACTAGGCATGTCACATACTTACCAGAACTGTAACACCCTTTTACAGCTGGAAACTGAACTAATCTCCAAGCAGCTTCCAGTTGGTTCCAAACTTCCCTATAAATCAACTTTATCTCAAACAGTGTCTTCCTCTCAGGATTAAATGCTCTTCAGGAACTAATTCCTCCCTCCCCACACACATACAGTGTTTAAGAGGATTAATTTAGCTACTTCAGTAAAAGGAAATATATTAAATTCTCAGCTGATAAAATAGTCACCACCTTAGCAACTGCTTAAAGAAACATACAAGGAGCCTGGAAATGTTTCTCTAAGCCTGTTGACACAGGAGCCCAATTAGTGCAGTGAGCAGAGCCAAACATCAGGGGAAGGTTGGTATCTCAGCTGGGCTCTTCCACCAGGCAGGCACCCGTGGAATCCTGTGCTCCTGAGCTGTGGGGAAGAATTCAGCACGAAACTTTGCAGCTCAGTCCTCCCTCTTGCAAATGAATCCCAGCAGCACAGCTAGTACAGAGGTCCCAGGACTCCCTGCAGACACATCCAGCTCTGGATTCAAAAGGGGAACTCCAGCCCTGTTTTGTGGTTATTAGAGAGAAAGACAGTAAAATAAATTGAGAAATGTGGTGGTAATAAACTATGAAAATGCTGACAACAGGAAACTCATTTCACAGTGGAAGGTGGTGGTTTTTTTTTAATTTTCTCACATCTACTCCCTATAAAACACTGCTCATTTAACACTGTGCACAACCACTCCTGCAGCACCCACAGCTGAGCACCCAGAGCCTGCTGTAAGGGTGGGTGTAACCACAAAATGGGCTGAGTTGCTCCCTAAAGAAGGGGTGTGCCAAAGGCTTCAGAGGAGTCTTAATCATCTGTTTTTCAGCTGCTGTTTCTTAGGTAAGTAAAAGGGAACCAGAGCCACCAAACTGCAGCAGAGAAATGCAAGGTGACTGTAAGGACAGGGCATCTGGTTGTTCCACTGCCAGCCAGGAAGTCCCCTGAACTCTGGCTTGTGGGATTTTACTCTTTTTTTTTTTTTTTTTCCTGCAAATTTTTAGATCCGTGCTCCCAGAAGAATCATAACAGCTAAAACACACCTAAGTTTATCTCTCTGCTTTTTAAGGCTCAATGAAACAACTAAGACAGTATTTTATATTTCACACCTGACTGAAAAGAAGACAAGTTTAGTGGGCAGACTTCTGCAGAGATGAAGAAGCACCAGCCCAGACCCCAGCAGAGCCTGCCAGCAGCATGCCAGCTGCCCTGCTGGGCCCACCAGCTTTCTTGAGTGCACCCAGAAGTTTCTGTCAATCAGTAGAGCTTACCAGCATATTCAATACTGCAGACACCATTTCTCCAAATCTGATTTGACTCCCAAGCCAACTTGAAAAGGCTGGCACTGGCATGCAGGAGCTGCCCAGGGAAGCCTTTGCTTTTGCTGGATTCAGCAGCTGTACAAGACAGAGCAAATGCTTGCAAGGTTTCCTCCTCACGTGTGTTTACTTCAGTCCACCACCACCACCGTGAGGCAGCAGCAGGGCTTCCCTTCCCACATCCCAGTGTTCATTTCCTTCGTTCACCTACACTCCAGACTAGAAACTGGAAATCTGGTACCAGGCCTTAACTTGTCCAGAAAAATGAACTTTTTTCCAGGTTCCTACAGTCCAGGAGTCACACAGAAAATACTGACACTTATTCTAAACATTGTTATGGGTTGTTTGGTTCCCAAAAGGGCAATGATAAAGCCCTAGGCAATCAAGTTTTGTAGGAAACCAACTTGAGTACACAGAGGCTCACGTATATTTCTTTGCATTTTTTTATTTTACTTGCATTTAAGAAGAAGGCAGTGTGCTGTACCCGTGCCTAATGCCTGCCCCATCCAGCCTTCCAGCTCCTGTGTCAGCCTGCCTGTCCTCAGAGGGACAGCAAGTTCATTCCTGAGTGCCTAAAGACACATCCCACACTTCATTCAAGTCCCAGCTCAAGCACAGTTGGGACATCCCTCCATCAAGGGATTCTCTGAACAACTCTGAGCACTGAGAAAACTCACACAGATACAGCAGTACTTCCATTAATTAGAAATGCAAAACAACGGTTTGCATCATAAACAAGATCTAGGACAGCCAAGGTATTACCCACAGGACGACACAGAAAGGCACAAAGCCAGCAGGGCACATCTGGAAATGAAAGGCCCTGGAGCAGCCCCATATCTCCAGCCAGGATGAGCCAGCCAAGGCATGGAGCTCAGGCCACCCATCAACACCACATGAGGAACTCGAGGACAGAGGGGATAAAAGAAATTACATTTTCAAAA